ATCAGCAACCAGTTGGGGTTAAATAGAATGCAGGAGGTTATCTGTGTCCCAAAAAGCTACAGTGAAAGTTCAGCAGATAGAAGTTCTGCCAATCAAGAGATGTGCTGCAGAACACCGAGCGTGGTCCACATGGCCTCTTGTTCAGACCTTGGTTGGGAGGGGGCTGTGGATGCCCTGCTGGGAGGAGGACAGTATTGTCTGGAGGATGTTCTGGCAGGGCACTTTTGGGAACAGGAAGAGTTACTGTGCTGAGCCTGCGTAGGAGGAAGCACAAAATAGGTTCTTTGGAGAGTTCCTGGTCTTCAGGCAGCATTCAGTTCTCTACAACCACCTTATTTAAAATAGGGCATCCTACCAAACTCATTAGGGTAAAATCATTTTGGGTTTTTGTTGACTTTTGCTTAAATTGAGTTTCTTTGGTTGTTTTTAAAGAAATGTGAGATCTTGATTTATTTATTCCTCTCCAGGAACTCTTAAGTACCACTTTTTCAGCATTCAATATAAAATGCAGGATATAAACCTTTGACTAATACTATACTCTATATACAATGGATTACACAGCAATCTAAGTCTTTAGAATTTACTGAGAATTTACATTAAAGTATCTCATTGGAGCTCGATAGAATTTCTGGGTTGTCATTTTAAGGACCATTACACATGAGAATTTTTCCTGTGAAATATGTAAGTCCTTTTAGCCCTGGTTTTGTAAATAGGCTCTGAAGCTGACATACAGCTACATGCCTAAATCAGTGGTGTTGTGTTCAAGAGTTGGTGAAAAACTAATCTGTCCCCATTTAAATCAACCACTTAGCAACCCAGCCACACAATTTTTAGGTTTTTAACCTGATAATCTCTAATTATTCTGGCTTGGAATTCCAGCAGAATGGGGTTCAGAGTAATTTTGCAGATGTTATTCTTTTTTTGTATATTGTCTAATTTAAAAGGAAAATATTTCAGATAATAACATATTTTGAGGGGGAAAAAAGCATGAAAACCATTTCTGTTCCAAAAAATTGCTGATATGAGAATTTATGAGGAAACAGCTCCTTTTATGAATAATTATTATTATTGTGTTTAAGAAATGGGCAAGATGCCTAGAAATTGAATGAAAGAATGAGCTATTAAATTGAAATATTAAATGAAATAACTGAATTAAAAGTGATCATGTAAACCCAGCAGTAAATGTTAGGAGCTGTAGCTGATTGAACATATTTTCATCATCTGTTTTGTATGCTTAAATACAATTGCTTGATGTAAGTAAACACTTGATTGATATTCTGAATACTTTAAAATCTGCATATGCATCATGGAATACTGAACAATTAAAACTTAATTTCAGTGTAGTTTGATTACATGTAAATTATTTCAATATTCATTTTTTCCTGGTCTGTTTGCTCAGTGCATATTTAATATCCACTTTTTGAATGCATATCACTCTTGATTGGACTGTGAGATGAGGAGGACTCTGAAATTTCTTCCATTAAAAAGGATTGCCTTATAAATATTATTTGTGCCACAGCTCTTCCCCTGCAGATTATTTTCTAAATGTTGTGTACTCTTATTGAAGACAAGGAAAAAGCTGCTGCAGCCCTCCTTTATCAGCCCAGCACAAGGAATATGCTTACATGGTCGATGAGCATGTCTAAGAAGGCTTGTTGGTTGTAACTAGTCCCTAAAGAAATGTTTCCATCTTTTCTGCACTATATTGCTTGCCTGCATGAGCTCCCTCTCCCTTCCCTTCCTCCTCCCTCCACGTGATTTTTATTTTATTTTCCTGCTTCTTGGAGGTCTTACAAGACACTTGAATATTATGGTAAAATATTACAAGTGTTTTCAAGTTGACCATTTTCTGTCTGAAAAATGTTTCTCTATCTTTAAGTGACCACATTCAATTTAGGAGTTGTGGAATAGAGATTAAAAAATTTTGCCTTTTTACATATTTGTAGAACATTTTCTACCAAAGAGACTTCTTGTCCCTTCTCTGAAGGCTGCAATCCATACACATTTTTTTTGATCAACGGTGTTTCAAATTACTGTATTTCTGAACATCCAACAGAAGGAAATCCTAGACATTTGATTCTCTTTTTATTTATGCCAGTGAACAGAATAGCCTTTCTGAAGTTACAGATAACATTATATTTTTTTTTATTACTTATATATTTTATTTTATTTTAAAATTATTTCCTGGCATCTTTTCAGTTAAGTCATATTCCCAAAATACAGGCAGGCAGCAAGTTTGTCACTTCACCATGGAAGGCAAGTCTGGATTCCTTCCTGCCTTGACCATTTTTGACCTACACACCTGTTGTTATATTAGTCCCATTGCCCTTTGATTTCTAACAGAAATTTTTTATACATTTTTAGAATACATACAGAAATGCATATAATAACAGTATTCTTTAGTTATGTGAGAATTTGAAGTTAATGTTGTATCTGCTAAATGGCTTGCATGGGAATGTTTTCCTGTGTCCTACATAGTTAATTGCAGTTTCAGAGTTCTAATCTTGAAGGTCATATTTCTGTTACCTGTAATTTTGACCAAACAAGTGGCTGAACTTCATGGTTTGCAGGTGGATTTCCTTATCTCTCTTTTTCAAGGGACATATAAGTCTTGATTGCTGGAGTTACTGTAAACCAAGCAACAAGGGGTGAGGAGGAGGAGGGGGTGGGAAGACACTGTTCAACACCAGGGCCCTGGAAATTCCATTTTAGAGAGCAAATATTGTACCTGGGACTGCAGCACAAGAACAAAAGGGGGAAGGTTTTACTCGGGGGGTGTTTTGTTTGTTGGAGGAGCTGCGAAACTGTTAAGTGAGTGTGCTAACAACAGTAAGAGGTCTTCTTCCTAGGATAAAGCATGCTTATAAAACAGACATTATTAGCTTGAGGTTGGTCTCATGCTATATGGACCTCTCTCTAATGGTTTCTGTACATTAAAACCAACAAAACTTTCATAACAAAGGGTTTCAGAATAACAGTTATCTTCTTGTAAAGTTAGGTTAAAAAATGCTGGATATTCCTGATGGATTTAATACTGTTGGCCTAAGTAAAGCAAAAATACTTGTCACACTTCTTTGTAACATCTGCCTTCTTTTAAAGCAATTCAATTTATAATAATTTATGAAGTAACTGTGATTGTTATTTGCAACACTTTTGTTTGTGAAAAGCATTTCTTAGATAGTCTTTTTTTTTCCCCTTTTTTTTTTCCTTAGTATAGATCTGAAAATAATGAGTTAGCATCACACATTTTTGAATAGGGGTCATAATGAGACTGAAGTATGTATGTTGATTAAAGGAAAAATAATTGAAATCTTTGTGAAATTGCAAAGAAATTACAGCCTAAGGCCATGATTCTGTTCTGCAAGTCAATCAAATGAGAAAGTTATTTTATAGTTTTTGGTTGCAGGCATTTTTTCCTTGTCTAAAGCAAATGTCATTCAAATAGTCTATGTAGTGATAACTTTGGAAATACAAAATAATGATACAGACATTCTTTTTAGCCAGTCACATTGCTGGTTTCTCTTCAGTTTCCAATTTCCTCTCTAAGTACTAAGAATGTATATTTAATCCATAATGGAAAAAAAAATGTGCCAGGAAAAAAATATAAAAGTGATAGCTGTTCAAGATACACATCTTTTAACATTTACTTATTTTTCTTAATTAAAGTGTAACTTCAAAAGCATCATTGCAAAACCATGTATTTTGATGGAAAATCTGCCATAGGAATCATGTTGAAAACTTCAGATACACAGGCATGAGAAAGTGGGGGTGCACCGCCTGTTCCCTGGCGATCAAGAGGTTAACTTTGATTTATCTCTTCCCCTCCCTTAAACTGGTTCTGTGAGGAGGGCTGCAAATTAGTACTTGGAAGACACAGCAGGGAGATTAGCTTTAGGGAGGGAAGGGCTCCCCGCTCCAGCTCTTAGGAACCTCACCTGGAGAGTGCATTTCCTTTTCTACTTAAGCTAACATATTATGCCTTCTTGTCACGAATGTTATTCCTTGAGGAAAAGTCCTCTCTGGTTCTATCTTGCAATCTGATGAATCATTCCAAGTGTGTGGTAGAAGAGAGGAGAGCGATAAGGCTGTAACAGGAGGGAGCCAGGAAACCGCTGAGGCTGTGGCCGGGAACAGGAATCCTGGTGTGGTGCATCACACGGGATTACTTACCCAGCCAGGGGAAGGAGGATTCCCATCTTTCCTCTTCTTCACACCGGCCTGAGGAGGAGCTGCAGCACTGCCCACTGTTTCCTATGACACCACCAAGGTACAGAGCTGTACAAACTCTGGCACCATGTGATGCTGTCTGGCAATATTCATTTGACAAGCACAGCCTACACCTTTCTAACCCTGAGAAATCACAATGCTTTTTTTTCCCCATTGGTGCAAAGAAGTCATCTCCTTCCAAACCTCAAGTGTCTGCAACTTGATCTATTGTTGAAATTGTTAACAGGTGGAAATTGAAATTTACCCACTTTGTAATGGGACAAATATAAAATCGTTCTATATGGAATCAATCTTCTACCTCCCGGCTGAAATAAAATTGGGGTATTTGCATTTCTAAAACTAACCACCAAACCTATTTTTGTAGCTAATTTTAAACAGTTTAAAATGTTCAATAGAGGAAAATGTGTACAGATAGAATCACTTTCTCATAATACAATGTCACATAATGGTTATCTATGCCTAGTATAAGAGAGACATTAACCCAATGCAGAATTTTCCATTGGCATTAGCATTTGCCAGTGCAATGTTGATTCAACCAGATCTGATGGGACTCAACACTGAACCACTTGGTGAAGGTTTTAAACAATGAAGAAGATTAAGGGTAGTCACTGTCCTACCCCACAGTTTTGCAGTCTGAGTATGAGCCTATCAGGTTTCCCCAGTAAAGCTTTGGCATCACTTTTGGTGAGCATTGAAGGACTTTGTCCATGAGCAAAATTTGATGCAGCTCTTAAGTTAACCTCAGCAAGCGATGTGTTTCTTTTTTCTTTCAGGTATCAGAGGTTTGAAAAAGCATTTCTGCTTGCTGTTGACATCGGTGCTCGGGACCTGTTCATGGTGAGTTGTTTCTGGAGACAGAGGCTGTTGAAGGATATTATTTGTCAGCTTTTGCACACATTACAGCAGTTCCAGGTCATTTGCAGCCTAGGACACATACTGAAGACAGAACTGTTCTACCTTTGACACCATGAAACTCATCAATAGGAATTGGGTATCTTCAGAGTCACTGACGTTTTCCCCAGCGGGGCCTGCAGGCTATTCTTAATTTTCCAGGAATTATTGTACATGTTTTTAAACTTTCCCTTTCTTCGTCTGACCTGATGTGGGTGAATGTCATCTTTCTCTCTAATAAGCTTATACTTTTCTAATCTGTTCCTTTAAGTCCAACTGCTGAGCCTTGGTCACAAGAGCTGTCCATGTCCTGGGGATCCTGAATGCTCTTAGTTTGTCTCTTGGGGTTTTGTGAAAAGTGACAAATTATGAACGCTTCTGCTGGTACTTTTAAAACAACAAAGCTCAGCAGCATCAACACAAGGATTTTAACATTTCATGCACACTCTGCCTCCTCCCATTTAATTAGCTACAAAAGTAAAATTAACCAGCTCTTAAAAGGTCCTCTGTGTGAGCACTGCAGGAGGTTCTTGTTTTATAAGATCTTGCACCACAATGTCACAGTGAGGTCAGATGGACAAAGCCAGTCGTGCTCTCCTAGTCTCTCAGCATGTTGCTGCTCCACAGCTGATTTCATTGTTTTCAAAGAAACAATAGGAAAGGGCTTGTTGAAAAAAAGGCCCTTTGAACGATTCGTTTGCTTGACTCTTTTGCATAATGAAGACATTCTGTTGTTTAAATTAAGCTTTGACACTAGATGTTAATATCATTTATCCCATTAAGTCACTTGCCCTGCTAGTTTGATCTTGATATTTAAATTGTATGTTAAATTACACAATTAAATCCTGCTTTTAGGGGTTATGAAAATTCCCTTCTAATTATATAAAAAGTTGTGTGAACCTTTTGATGTTTTTTTCACAGCTCTAATCATCTGGCTTGTTCCATCTAATTAGAAAGATGTGAATACTGCGATAAACTTTCCTAAGTATGCATCAAAGGATGTGATGGAAATGTCAGACTTTTAGGAAATTCATTACATGTTCTATGTTTACTCCTCTTGATTTTCTGTCTTTTTAGATCATCTCTTTCCTTTTCTCTCTTTATTGAATGTAACCTCTTCAATACAAATTTTTTGCCTAATCATGCTAAGCACTGCTGCAGCCACATATGAACTTCAGACTCTAGCATGTGTGGAGCAGATTAAAGTTTTTTGTCAAGGGCTCTCCCAGTGTACAGATAATAAATATTTCCTAATTTTAGCCATTCTGACAGAATAAATGTCCCAGAACTTGCATTAAAGGCCCTCTGTCATATGACTGGGAGCGTTTTCTATGTGATCTGTTTCTCTTTCCTTCCCTCTGCTGACAGCAGGATTGAGGGAGCACCTCTGTGCCAGGGTGGGAGACACCAGTGTTGGGTGTTGAGATGGGTGCCCAGCTGCTAGCAAGAGGGATGGACTGTCAGTACCTGACTCCACAGGTGATAGATAACACGTTCTACTCTCAACAAAAAGTCTCTCCAACTTTGTTCAAGAGGAGTTTCACTGTTCACAAAGCAATTAACTCCATCCTTTCCTACTCTTTGCTTTTCCTTTCCTCTCTCAACACCTACTCTTCATTTCCCATCCTACCAAATGCCCTTAAACATAAATGTATATTTCTGAAGAGTTCCTCCTGGCTTTTGTCATTGTGAGATCAAAACCAGCTCTTCAATGTCCTCATTCTGTTTGCATAACCTTTGAAATTCCTCATAGTTGCCCCTAAATTATACTACAAGCAGCACACATTCTTGCCTCCTCTGGGGAAATGCCATTTTGCTAATTCATCGTCTAAGTCAGTCACTAATGAACAAACTTTACAATAAGCTAACATTGTACTGCTGCAAGTCCACTAAGTACAGGACTCAAGAAGTTTAAACATGCATAGGTCATTAAGAGTATTTATTTGTACCATGGTAATTTCTAGGGAATTTGGCTTCATTGTGCTTAATGCCATGTGAAAGTTAGATAACCTGTTCCCTGAAACCTTACAGTCTTTCTAGGTATTAGTATAACAATGCTACTGCTAAGCAAAGATTGTGCATCCCTCACTTCTGCTTAATACTGAATGATTCCTGTATATTGTTTATGTAGGGCAAAATGCAATTACTAATATACAAATTGATTTTGCATATATTTAAAGCAGTTTTATCAATTTTTAAAACCTCAGCTAGCTCTTGGAGTCACATCACCTTATTCTCAATTAATTTAATGGGATTTCAAGAAGAAATAGTAGTCTAAATAAAGTTACCTGATGACATAAGCAAAATGAGAAAGAGAAAGGTCTGTTTATTAAAAGGGAGCAGAGAAGGAACAAAAAGGAAAGGATAGAGAGGAATAGATACAAAAGAGGTTGAGGAGGATGCAAACACTGAGTACCCATCACCTGAGACTTCTAAGAAAATGTCCTATATCTTAGAGAATTTACCCCAAGCTTCAATTTCACCAAACAGGGCTCTACAGCATTCCCATTATTTGTTTTGAGACTGCAAAGAAGTTTGAGAGAGTGCTATCTGAGGGCTAATTTCTTTCAAAGACATGAAAAAGAAAAAACAAAAAGGCTTACAGCTATAGCTATAGTATCACTAGATGATGCCATAGCAAGACACATACACTGCTGTGTCTCTCCCTGAGCTTTACCCTTGTGTCACATACAAGTCCATCAATTAATATCATCTCCTACAAAGTTAAAAAAAAACCAAAAAAAACCTGAAAAGGACATAATATCAAGAACAACAGCTCCATGTATTGGACAGTGACTGATCCAATCTGTGACAGAAAAGATCAAGCAGTGGAAAGGTTGTTAGCTTGAAATGCTTTTATAGTGCAGTCCAACTCTCAGCTGCTGAAAATTCAAAAGGCCATCCCATGTACCAAAGGTAGCAAAAAATGCAAGGAAAAGACACTTTAATAAAACTGTCAGATCTTGGGTGATACACTGATGAGGAAAGTGGATGCTTCCAAGAAATGTTGGAGTGTTGCCCAGAAATATCCTATAGACAAATGCACATCGTGTTTCAAATGACTTCTGCTCACCAATGGCCAGCTCTGTGAGTCACAAAGGTGAGGGGGAAGGGGAAGTAGTCCAAAAAGTAAGCAAACTGTTAAATGATAAAATAGAACCCTTTCAGCAAGCTCCTGATAAGCAGCTGGAATTTGTTTTTATTGTCACCATTGTGTTTGAGAGAGATGTGATCTTTGGACTTATAAATTCTTACATAATTGTGTGAAAAAAACCGTCATGAATATTCAGATAATTTAATTCCTTTTTTTCCTGTCATTCTTTAAAGCAGCCTGTAATCTGGTGATTCTTTTCTGGTTTTTCAGTTTTCTAGTTTAATCTACTCAGAGAGTTATAAATTCTTAGAAAAATCACTTATGCTGGTTTATTTGAATGAGAAACACCTAAATTAGATCTGAAATGGTCTAATTGGGAGATTTCACATCTATAATCTTTTCTCTCTAAAGCTGATTTAGAGATGAGGCAAAGGCTACTTTTTTATTGTTCTTCACAACCAGCAACTTGAGGAACAACAAAGCAAGCCACTTACCAACCTACTACAAACCTTTATTTCTTACAAGGCCCTTGTTAGTGAATGATGGATGTGTAATACCTTTACATTTTTTTACTCAAACCAGAAAATGGAAAAAACCAAGACCTGAAATAACAGCTGCTTTGATACACACAGTGCACAAGCTTTTCACTGACAAAACTTCATCATTTTCTGCAGTTGTTTCCACTCCAACCTCGAGCTTACTATTTGAAATTGCACAGAGGTATACAATACTTATCATAGTTTAAGCTACAAAAGACAATCATTAAATATTGTCAGAATGTATTTTAAGTCTGCCTGTACATCCAAATCTCTGTAAGTTCAGACTTGTCCAAGGGCCCGTGGGTCTTCTATTGTTATCTAAATAAGGCGACAGTATCTGCTGTTTAATCTTCATAGAAATCATACCTTGCTGCTCAGGCCTTTTTCTCCTGACAGCCAAGTTCGACCTACAAAGAGAGGAAATACAGAGTTCACCACAAGTTCATAACCCATTACTCTGCTCCAAGACATTTGCACATTTTTTTAGTTACACCTGTGTTTGTGATGAGAAGACACTGCTGTCTCCTGCAGACTCTGAAGATCCTGCAAGTCAGTTCCAGGCTTTACTGCATAATCATCTCAGTTTCTCTAAGATTTTCGCTTTTGTTTTAAAGTTGTTGTTCTTGTTCTCGTTCTTGTTTTCAAATGAGTTACTGAAAGCAGCATGTCTTTCTCCTAACACTATTACTCTCACTTTCTTTATCTAAACGAGTCTTTCTAGAGTAAAGTCACTTTTCCTGTAAGAGTTTCTGTTGATATTGATGCAGATTGCAGTAAACTCACATCAAGAAGAATGGTTTCACCTGAGATCTTTCACATTAGGGAGAACACAGTTACTTTTATGCCATGCAGAGGTCAATATTGCCAGCAAACATTTCTTTTCTCTTTTAATTCCTGCAAGCAGATGGCTTGCAGAACAAAGGAGTAACTCAAATCTTTGGATGTCAAATGGCATCTTCAGCAAAGTAGTGGGGGGAAAAACTTTGGCAACTGTTGTTGGATTTTTCTCGCTTTCTGTGTCACAGTTCATGCACAGAGCAGCACGTGTCTGTGATGCCAGATGAGGAGGGGATTGTCTCTTGATTAATGGTCAAGAATAAACTTTTACTTTTCGAGGACCAAAACCAAGGGCAGCAAGAGAGTAGTTTGTCTGCAGGAATATATTCTCCCACAAAGAGCTCTGTATGTAGTACAGGTGGTTTTCACCTCAAATATTAATATGCAATAAAAACCCTTGACTTTTGATAAGAGCATGCAGTAATGGGACAAGGGGGAACGGCTTAAACTGGCAGAGTTTAGGTTGGATATTTGGAAGAAATTCTTTCCTGTGATGATGGTGAGGCCCTGGAACAGAAGTCATCCAGAGAAGCTGTGGCTGCCCCATCCCTGGAAGTGCTTAAGGCCAGGTTGAATGGGGCTTGGAGCAACCTGGCCTAGAAGAAGGGCAGGTTGTCCCTGCCCAGGGCAGGGAGCTGGAATGAATTGACCTCTAAGGTCCCTTCCAACCCAAGCCATTCTATAATTCTGTATAATGATAACACCCCTGCTGCAGCCCTCTGTTTTTGACTCTAGATAAAAGACTAGATACAGAGTATTAGCAACTATTCTAAATGCTAGACAACAATTTTGGAAAGCCCCTTGTTGTTCAGAAGTGACTCAGGAATCATGCCAACCCTGTGGATGTTAGAACCACTGAGCAGCCACTGTTGCTCTTATTGCCTCCAATATCAGCACAGGGAGGACCATCACCCTGTTACCCATAGAACAGTGAGGGTAATAGCCTTCAACAGTGAGGGTATGACAATATTCAAACAAAAATTAGTCCTTAAAAGATGCAAACTTTCAAATCATAAAATCATTACGGTTGGAAAAGCCCTCAAAAGTCATTGAGTCCAACTGTTAACCCATTGCTAGCAGGCCCACCACTAGCCCATGTCTCTAAGCACCACATCTGCATTTAGCATGCTCCAAATAGAGGCTGTCAGCCAAGAAAGTTCCAATACTTCAGATCTAGTTTACACAGAGCCACCTCCTATCAACATTCTTTTAATTCAAAAGAAGTTACGTTAAAAGTCGACAGATTGGTTTCTTTCATACACTGAGTCAATAGCTTTGCTTTTATCAGTGCCTGATTGGTCAGTGTTTTATTCATTGCTGTATTCAACAGCACAAGTAAGGAAATGTATTTGCGTTGGAGGGAATTAAAATGTAATGGTAAGTTCATCAGTTCCATCTATGTTTGTGATCTAAATAATAAAAGAACCTCTTTCTTTCAAAATCCCTTTTGTTGCTCCTTTGAGATTCATTTTAGATTAATCTTTTTTCTTCTTTATTTCCAAAGGACATCCATTACCTTGCTCTAGATAAGGGTGAATTGGCACTAGCTGAAGTGGCAAAGAGAAAGGCTAATGACATTGATGCAGAATCAATAACTACTGGAATTGGTAAGAATTAATGGTGTCTAAAAAGCCCTTTTGTTTTAATCAATACTTGTCCTGTAGAACATGTTGTTATATTTGTAGAGGGGTTATTGTTTTGATTGCATTGTTTTCTTTGAAAGTGAGACCGGATTTTCATTTGTGACTAAAGAACAGTATTTTTATTCCTAACTAAAGGAGGCTTATAAAAATCACACAGCTTTGCCTTTCAGTACCCATGTGAGGATAGCTATGAAGCAAAAAGATTTATCCTGTGGCTATATAGAAAAGTTCAGGCTATACAAACTGAACTGAGTGCAAGAGGTAAGAGGCTGAAACTGAAAATCTTTGTTCATATCAACATTTAAGGCCAGGTATGGCAATTTGAGTCACCTCTAAATATTTGCTGGTGCACACTGGAGCCACATCCAGCATTGATACTTTGGCAGCACTCAAAAGAGCATTTACTGATGTGAGCACAGCTTCACATCCTGGCTTTAAAGCAGCAGCTTTGCATGAAGTGGGATTCTTGCCATTCCATAAGGAATAGCAATGCTAAAGTTGCAGTGTGAGATTAACTGCTGAAACACAGATGACTTTTCATGCAGGGGAACTCACAATTTATTCACTTCCTCCTTGTGTTTCCTCTGAATTGACATGAAGAGATGCAAGTATATGAGGCCATTCTGATTTCGTGCCTTATGGCATGACCCAAGAAGAAGGTGTCTGGAGACAAAGGGAAGAAAACCCACAAAGCCTAAAATTTGTATAAAATTTGCACAGTTCTGTTTTTGCTTATTCTACTGCATCATTAGAGGAAAGCACTGAGCTTTTGTCCTTATCTCATGCCAAGAAGTAGAATAGGATTAAAGCTCAGAAGGTTTTTTTTTGTGAGTCAGTCACAAAACCTATGAGATCTTGGGTAACATGGGATTCTTTTAGATCTGTACATCTCCCTGTTTACCCAGAACATACAAGGGAATGCCACTCCTGTACCTAGAAATGCAGAGAGGCCATATATGCATTTATGTGCCCATTTCTATAGATTGTATAAACCCATGACTTTCAAGGCTACTGCAATACAGTAGCACCTCCTTCCCTCTCCAGCAGAGTGTGAATCAAGAGGTGCCTGTCCTGAACTCTTCTCTTCAGAGTCTTTCATTTTCATGCTCAAGTCACTTAGAGCTATTTTTCCACCATAACTGGGCTTTTGGGCAAGCCCTTTCACCACTAGAGTTTGAAAAAATCCTGACCTGTTTAGGTCATCCCTTAATGGGCACTTTAAAGTGTGCAGTTATCCCTCGCTTTCCCTCTTCTCTTCTCTTCTCTTCTCTTCTCTTCTCTTCTCTTCTCTTCTCTTCTCTTCTCTTCTCTTCTCTCTTAGGTACTTATGTGCTGCACCAAATATAACTGAGATACCCAAGATTGCATCTGATCATTATCTGTTCTTTGACACTTAACCCAGAAAATTTAAACTCTAATCTGTATCTTCATTTAATTCCTTGCAAACTGCGATGATTAGTAGATTTCTGAAGCTGGGCTATTTATAAATTTAGTGAGAGCCTTTTGTATCATTGTAGATGGACATGCAGGGAGAGGGGTAGGGAAAAGAACAGAGGTGGTCACAGGTGCCTTCCCTGCATATCAAATGCCATACACGTGTAACTACAATTCAGCAGTAAATGTGCAGGCACAAAGTCTTCCCCTCCTCCAGAGCAGTCCTACAGTTACGTCTGCAATGCTCTATTAGCATAAATTATTAAAGTCATTTTATATGATAAAGACTTTTGCTGAATAATTAACTATCGGGGTGATTTAAAGTACTTTTCAATGCCCCCAGGGACAAACTGTCACTGAGATTCATTCTCTAAACAGTAATGAATTTGCATCCAATTAATTTTGTATGAAAATAAACAGGAATCTCCCATGAGTTTGTTTCGCTGCAGATTCAGTCTCACCTTAATCATGTGAAATCTCAGCCACAGGTTTTGTTTTGTTATACTTTATTGCAACGTCCCTTCTAATGATGTTTTCATTTCATAAACTGTTGTTGACAAAAAAGTTGACATGAGGTATGAACTTCGTGGACCTAATGAAAACAAAAGATGATGAGTGCTTTATATGTAAATTGCTGTATCTTTCTAATACTTTGACAGGGGGAGGAAAAAATCATGCCAGAGCCAGAAGTTTTAAAATACAGTTTCAAACAAGTCTGTGTCTCCTGACCTCTTCTCAAACCCAGACCTCTTCAGCTGGACCCTGCTCTCTGGAGCTGGCAGCCACTCAGTTCACCAATGGTCACACTTCTCCCCAAACTTCTTGAACACCCACCTCAGGCTTTTACAAGGAGACAGTAACCTAAGCAGCAAGGTGCAATCAGTACTATTGAGCTTATACTGGACACCTCTACAACTTATTTCTTAAATATATATATATATATATATACATATATATATATATAGTGAACCATTGTCATATGTCAATATCTGATGAAATTTCCTGAGCTAGCCCATCCCCAAACCTCAGCTCAGCACTGCTTGAAAAGAAGATGAGTCAGTGCTTCTGGCTGATTCCCAAGCCTTTAAGTGTGCTCCATCTTGCCCCAGATAGATTTAATTTGTCAAGATATTTCTGTGTACTTCAAGCATAATGTATTTCAAACTCAGACTTCCAGGAAAGTTTCAAGCTCCTACAAATAATGTAGAATGGCAATATAATTAAAATTTATGGATGTCATCCAGAGTTCTATATGGGTAGATTCCTCACATATATTATACCAATATTTGTGTCAAGATAAAACTAAAAATAGATTGATTTTTTTAAGGTTTTCTGAATTTTGGCTCTTCTCATTTCATCATCACATGATTGCAATTTTCTGGACACTGTTTTGAAGAAGCCACCTTCAAAGCTGAGGAGCTAAGGAGCTGTGGGCATCTGGTAAAAACATCTGTAGACCTGCAGAGTACAGTAGCTTAGTGAGAATATTGCTGAGCAAGATGAAGCATCAGGTGAACTATGGTTTTGGCAGAATCATATATTTTGTTCATCTGATTAAAATCTTCTGAGGATCAATATTCTCATAAGAGTTTATGTTTGACAGCCTGTGAAAATGCATCTTGAGGGATGAGAAGATTGAAGTAATGGTATTGTATATCTCAGAAATGGCATTAGCTATCTCCTCTTTCCCCACCCTTATTTGATCAGCAGACCACTGGCCGTGGATCCTGTGGTTTCTTCTTCCAAAGATTTTCTGTTGAATTGTTTCTGTAGTAGATCCACAAGTTCCTTAATGAGGTCAGGGAGTTCTCATTTAGCCTTGCCTAAAATGTATGCTGTGCACCTCATTTCACTTGATTAAAAGAGAGAATAAATAATTTATTCAATATTGGCATATATGTAGGTTACTAATAAATTCTGTTTATGAGCGTAACCTGGCATGTACTCTCCTGGAACAGTATTTTCTGTGGTGGGAGAGTGAGTCTGTTTGGTGCTGTAAAGTGTGGGTTGCTAATGTAAAACCTGAGTTGCAAAGAACTGACATGGCAGAGCCTGTTAAGAAATGCCATAGCTAATGATGATCGTGGAGGTGAGGAGCTCAGCCCTTCAGACATCATTGCTCAATGAATATCCAACGAAGAGCATATGTAGGCAGTGTCAGAAAGTTTCCCAAGGCCAACTTCCAACAAATTACATTAGGGCCTAGCAAGGTGATTTTAACCTTCAAATCAACAGCTTTCACCCAAAAGGGATTCATGTTGTGACAAGACAGATAACACTGCTGCATAGTTGAAAGGCAAATTGGAAAACCTTGTATTTCTACTTAGAATTTCAGAATATTAGTAACTAATGTTTAGGCAACATTTCTAACAGAGGTATCTTAACAAAAACACTGATGTTCAGATAATTGCATTGTTCTGAAATGCTAGATGGGACTGACTAGCATTTTGGTGGTTCGCTTCTCATGAAAGCGCTTGAGGTTTTTCCATTTAAAATAGAATTTTAAAATATTTCTGGAAGTATTCCATACTGTTTGCAAGATAGGGAATCTTATCAGTTCTCACAGAGACTGAAGTCTAATTTCCCACAGTGTTTGTAAAATGACATTTAAAATGTAGGGACCCTAAATGTTTCACCTTACTGGCAAGGAACATCACCAGTTTGAACCCTAAGTGGAGAATTAATTAATTTTATCTTAGTTTTGTGGTAGTGTTTTTTATTGAATGGCTTGCATGTTCTTTGTGATAATTAATAATGACACATCCTACAGTGTTTTGTCTGAGGTACCAGTCTGGTCTTGCATTACAGTCTGCAAAATCACTTATCATTTACTCAGATCTTCCCCTCTTCCTGACAGTCCAGGGGAGCCTGCTTGCATTTCAAGACCATGTTTAGAATTGTCCCCCTGTGTTTGTAACCTTCTCTGGCCTTGCATTAGCCTAGTTGGTAACATTTCCTTCTCCTCTGATCCATAATGACTCCTTTCATCTCTCAAGCAATATTCTTCTTCACCCTCCCATATCCTTTCTGACACTGATGGCAAAGCCTTCTTCATTTCCTGCTCTTCCTTGGCACGTGCAGCTTTCTCTTGTCATCTATCAAGTTTCAAGTTAACTGAGAATCTTGGCCTTTATTTAATGACTTTTATTTCGCTGTATAACATGTTTACAGCATGCTTCAAAGGTATTGTCCCAGACACAGGTGAGCTGTGATCTGGGAGGGCTTGGAGGACACCTATTCATACTGAAGTTTTTTTGGAGCCTGCCCCCTTCAGTGTGAGTGTTAGATCTCCTATTTATTTATTTATATTTTCAGTTTAAGTCAATCAAAACCTCTGGAATCAAACCTTTTGCTTGTATTTTTCTAATAATGTAACTTTTTCCCCAGAGAGCCAGAAAAACATTTTTAATGAAAAATGCTTTCTAAGTATGATTGGCAGTTCACCTATGGCAAGAATTTAGTTTCCACACGCACCTTTTTAATTTTGTGCCACCCAAGATGAGTGTCTTTGAAGCTCCATAATAATTTGA